TTTGCATTCAATTATACAATGGCCGGCATACAGGTGCTTAGTCATACAACACACGTGGAACCTAAAAGTCACCATTTTGCAACAGATCTTGTCTCCCTATTGCAATAATAATAATAATAATAATAATAATAATAATAATAATAATAAACCTTTATTTATACCCCGCTACATCTCCCACAGGACTCGGTGTGGCTTACAAAAGGCCGAGCCCAAATACATCATAAAAACATAACAACATCAATACAACAATAAATAACTCATAACAAAGTGGAAAAAACCCAAAACAATACAGTAATGACATGACGCATTTAAAAATCTGTGGCAGGGCCAAGTGCAAGGGTTAAAATTAAAAATTCTGGGCATGTCCAAGGGAAATAGGATGGATATTTTAGGATAGGTAGGCGTGCAGACAGTTCTAAGTCTCTCATAAAGTGCATTTGGGACATATTGCTTAGGGTTCCTTATTCTGGGAAGGCACACTGGAACATCCACGTTTTCAAGCTCCTTCTAAAGACTGCCAATGTTGTGGCTTGCCTGATGTCCTTGGGGAGGGAATTCCAGAGTCGCGGGGCCACCACTGAAAAGGCCCTGTCCCTCGTCCCCACCAATCGCGCTTGCGATGCAGGTGGGATCGTGAGCAGAGCCTCTCCAGATGAATGAAGAGATCATGTGGGTTTGTATACAGAAATGCAGTCACGCAGGTAGATGGGAATTGGAATTGCACAGACAACATATTGCTCTGTGTCTTGCCTATATAAGTTGTGATTGCACATGGTGCATTGCGGTTGTGCATCATGTATTCTGCACCCAGTGATTGACCCATCTTGTGCAATATTGGTATGCTGCATCAGGGTTGCCTAGTGCTCATACAGTGCATCCCTGTGTGATTTGATATTTATACTACATTGAAGGAATCCTGGATGGCACCAGCTTTTGGTCTCCGCCTCCCAATAGTACCTTGGATAGCTTCTTTAAATTTAGATTATTATTATTACTACTACTGTTACTACTACTACTACTATTTCACCACCCCACTGAAATGAGAGCCACCAATTAGTTGCATCTGTAAGTAGGAAATTTAGGTACCGCTTATGCGGGGAGACTAATTTAACTAATTTACGATGCCATAAAAATCTCCAGCAAGCCTGCAAAGAATGAGGAAGTACTTCATCAGTGTCACAAATAGACGGTGAAGCAACAGCTCCCCTGGTGGCCAGAATACCCTCATGAAAAAGTGGAATGTTAAATTGCCTCTGTGTGTCTGTCTATATATGTTGTGTGTCTATGGCATTGAATGTTTGCCATGTATATGTACATTGTAATCTGCTCTGAGTCCCCTGCGGGGTGAGAAGGTCGGAATATGCATACTGTAAATAAATATAGGGACCACCAAACACAGTGCCCAAACACGAATCAAGGAACATGAAAGGCACTGCAGACTACTTCAACCAGAGAAGTCAGCCATAGCAGAGCACCTGATGAACCAGCCTGGACACAGCATATTATTTGAGAACACAGAAATGCTGGACCACTCCCACAACCACCATGTCCGACTACACAGAGAAGCCATTGAAATCCACAAGCATGTGGACAATTTCAACAGAAAGGAAGAGACCATGAAAATGAACAAAATCTGGCTACCAGTATTAAAAAACTCTAAAATTACAACAGCAAAACAGCAGAGAGGAAACAACCAGGCACATCTTAACACCTCTCAACAAAAGATTTTCCCAGGCTCAGCCAGGCCTACAAATGCTAATGAAGGTGGTCAGTTGAAACATTCACACCTAGCTCCAGCAGAGAAGAGCTCTTTGCCCCACCCCAGCCATTCCACAGATATATAAACCCATTGTCCTAATTCCAACAGACCTCAATACCTCTGAGGATGCTTGCCATAGATGCAGGCGAAACGTCAGGAGAAATGCCTCTAGAACATGGCCCGAAAAAACCCACAAGAACCTTGTAAATAAATAAATAATAAATAAGCTACTATGACATCTAAGATCATGGGAGGACATTTCCATTCTTCAGAGTAAGTAGCTATACAGTTGTCTCCTTCATGAAAAAACTCTCCGCAATTTAAATCAGTATTGCTAATGGACAGGAATGATAGGTTGTTCCAGTACAACAATATCTGGAGGCTGCACTGCTGTACTTCTGGGAATATAGTAATTACAGTAATTAATCACAGAGCTGATGGGTGTTAAGGAGCACATATAAGGTGTGTGTGTGTTTTATAAAGACATAACTGCTCCTAAGTTTGCATGTGGTAAGTCGGGCACTCAAGGGTCAATTCTCCTTATGGTTTACAAAAGGGAGTCTCAGTCTGAATAGTCCCAGATCTGGTCACAGTCTGCAGTCCCTTCCACAACCTCAAACAACATAGAGTTAAGGAGAAAACTACATAGCAAGATATACATATAATATAGTAAACAGTCACAATTATATGCATAACAAATAACTAGTATAGGAGACTTGCAGAAGGTTGCTATTTCCAACAGGAAGAGGGGCTTCAATAGCAATCCTTGTAAGAAAACCGTGAAATTTCAAACATGACCCTGTTTGCCATCCGTTGAAATGTTGGAAAGTTTATAATACTTTGAATATCTTGTGCAGGGAACTCAGTTGGAATTTATGGGATCTATATCTACATAAGTGAAGTTAACATTTTCAGGAAGCAGAACTGAGCCGTTTCACAGCATCTGTATTCAGCGAGGAGCTGCTATGGCATTATTATGTAAGGGAATCGACAAACTAACTGATGCACATCAGGACACTGAAAAAGGCATGCCAATGCACATCAGTTGAGCCCAGTGTGCAATCCAACAATCTTGCTGGTGCCTTGATGTACATTTTTGCAATTCAACAGGAGGGTTCCATAACACCTCTGCATTTTGACACAGGACTCTATGTTAAGAGAAAAAGCCCTTATTATAATTTATCAGTCTCCACAGCTGCGCATACATACATTTTCCCACAAGAATCCTACAAAAACTAATTGACTGATTAACAGTGCCACAAAAAGCCAAATATTAATAAAGAGTACAAGCTGGTTCAGGGAAGCTAAAAGCCTTTTTATATCAATGATATAATTAAGAGTGCTTTTATCAAAATGTGTCACATCAGTAATTGCTTTGGCGTACGGAATGTAAATCCTTTTGAAGCAGATTCCATGCTGAAAAAAATTCTAGGATTTCTCCATTTCTGCTTGTCTTCACTCATGCTGTCCCCAAACAACCCAGTCTCACGTATGATCAAAGATAATTACATGTGCTCCTGTATCAGGAGATATATGCCTCATATAACTATGTATCCCACCTCCTAAAACCCTCCTAAAACCCACCATGTAATGCAACTATTTCATGGCTGGAATCACTGGACTGCTATGAGTTTTTTGGGCTGTATGGCCATGTTCCAGTAGCATTCTCTCCTGATGTTTCACCTGCATCTATGACTGGCATCTTCAGAGGTTCTGTTGGCAGTGAAGCAAGTGGAGTGTATATATATATCTGTGGAATGTCCAAGGTGGGAGGGAGAGCCCTTGTCTGTTTAAGGCAGGCATGGGCAAACTTCGGCTGTCCGGGTGATTTGGACTTCAGCTACCGGCTGTTAGGAATTGTGGGAGTTGAAGTCCAAAACATCCAGATGGCCCAATTTTTCCCATGCCTGCTTTAAAGCAAGTGGGAATGTTGCAATTAGCATGCTTGAATAGCACTGAGTAGCCATGAAGCTAGGAGAAGTTCTTTATCCCACACTAGATATTCCACAGATATAATCATCTTCATCATCATTCTAATCATCATCTTTATTTGTAATCTGCCCTATCTTCCCAAGGGTACTCATCTATATACACTCCACTTGCTTCATTGTCAACTGAACCTCTGAAGATGCCAGCTACAGATGCAGCTGAAAGGTCAGAAGAGAGTGCTACTGGGACATGGCCATATAGCCCAAAAATCTCATAGCAATCCAACCATTTCTACATTGTTGGGGTGTGTGTGGGAGGAGAGAAGTAGGTAAGAATAGGGATGCGTTTTACTGTACTAGTTATGCAGCCATAGACATGTGCAGGAACCTTAGGGAGTCTTTGTGAGCTCTCTGCAGATAGCATACTCGCAATGCATCTAGCGACAGCAAAATACCTAAAGTCTCTGCTTTCTGAAAACACGGAAATAGCTATATGCTGCTTACAAGGTGAGTTGGGGGATTTTTCTTCATTGTATGGTCAGAACATTGGCCCCTTGGTGGCGCAGTGGGTTAAACTGGTGAGCTGCTGAACTTGCTGACCGAAAGGTTGGCTGTTCGAATTCAAGGAGTGGGGTGAACTCTCACTGTTAGCTCCAGCATCTACCAACCTAACAGTGGGTTAAACCGCTGAGGATCTGAACTTGCTGACTGAAAGGTTGGCGGTTCAAATCCAGGGAGCGGGGTGAGCTCCCACTGTTAGCCCCAGCTTCTACCAACCTAACAGTTCAAAAACATGCAAATGTGAGTAGATCAATGGGCATCGCTTCTGCAGGAAGGTAATGGCACTCCATGCAGTCATGCTGGCCACATGATCTTGGAGGTGTCTACGGACAACCCCGGCTCTTTGGCTTAGGCATGGGTATGAGCACCACCCCCCAGAGCTGAACATGACTAGACTGAATGTCGAGGGGAACCTTTACCTTTAGCTGTGGTCAGAACCTCATTCCAACTTATGTAACAATAATAAAACTGAAATGCCCTGCCATACATCTGACTTATGCTATCAAATGGCATGCCTACAGGGATGTGGGGAGTGCACACCATACCAGGTTATATCAGCCCAAAAAACACTGCTGCAATGATGCAAAAGTTGCAAGGTTGAGCCAAGAAAGAAAAAAGATGAGGGAAAGAAGATGAAAGAAAAAATTGTCCTTCATTGGGCCACCAATGTTTCTAGATTCTATATTTCTTGTGTTCTCCCAGTACATGGTTTTGGTATTCACTAATGGTTTCCCCTTGTCCTCCTCTTTCAGGTCTCATACAGAGCACAGCAAGGAGATACCAGTCAAGCAGTGTTCAAGATGGTGATGGTTTGGATCTTGGCCTTCCTGCTGTATGGACCTGCAATTATTAGCTGGGAATACATATCTGGTGGAAGCATCATACCTGATGGGGAATGTTATGCCGAATTTTTCTACAACTGGTATTTTCTTATCACAGCTTCCACCATTGAGTTTTTCACCCCTTTCATCAGCGTGACATTTTTCAACTTGAGCATTTACTTGAACATCCAGAAACGCACCAAAGTCCGCTTGGATGTACTCAATGAGACCCAAAACCAGAACTTCATGGAAGAGATTGAAATGAGCCAAGACGCCCAAATTTCCATGAAATGTTGCAAATGGGAACCGAAAGACACAACGCAAACTCTGGATGTTCCAAAATGGAATGACCAAGAAGAAATCAGCAGAGGGAGTACATTTGTGAAATCTTCACTGGAGTCCAATACAGAGAACTCGAGGTCTCCCATTGACAAAGTGAAACCTTCAAGCAAAAAGAATTGTAAAGACATGGTGTCCACTCACTCATTAGAGAAACGGATGACGGTGGCTTCACAGAACATGTCACAGCGTTTTAGGCTCAAAAGGGACAAAAAAGTAGCCAAATCACTGGCTGTGATTGTGGGCATTTTTGGTCTCTGTTGGGCACCATACACCCTTCTCATGATTATCCGAGCTGCCTGTCATGGCCACTGCATCCCTGAGTATTGGTATGAGACCTCTTTTTGGCTCCTGTGGGTCAACTCAGCCATCAACCCCATCCTTTACCCACTCTGTCACTACAGCTTCAGGAGAGCTTTCGTTAAACTATTGTGTCCCAAGAAATTAAAGATCCAGCCTCACAACTCTTTCCAGAAATGCTGGAAGTGACCTTTTTCGATCCATTATAAGGTTAGAAAGGGCATGTTATTATCTTGCGTTGTTCTACAGTGCTTTACTTTTCTTGAGAGGCGTGATAATAGAGCTGTCAGGAAATGTGGATGTAACAGTCTTAACACTGTTCAGCGAGATACAGCTACAAGATAGCTCAGTCTTACTGTGAGTTGAGCTAGGGTACACCTAATGCTTAAATCTATGCTCTCCAAGTCCATGCATATTGTGAGGTGATATTCATGCTACTTAGCTAAACTGGCCTTTCTGAGAAGCAAAGCATTGGATCCAAAACTGGATGTCCTCAAACACCAATTTCATTGAAGTCAACACACTGGACTTATGTTAAGTAAAGGTAAAGGTTTCCCCCTGACTTTAAGTCTAGTCATGTCCGACTCTGGGAGTTGGTGCTCATCTCCATCTCTAAGCTGAAGAGCCAGCGTTTTCCGTAGACACCTTCAAGGCCATGTGACCGGCATGACTGCATGGAGTGCCGTTACCTTCCCGTTGGAGTGGTATTTACTTAGGCGATCCCTCGTTAGACGAGTAGGATAGTCTTCCAGGGTCAGTATTCTTGTGGGTCCGTAGGTGACTGTGGAGCCCTATTCTAGATCTGAACCCATTGCTCTACTCACATTTGTATGTTTTCGAACTGCTAGGTTGGCAGAAGCTGGGGCTAACAACGGGAGCTCATTCTGCTCCCCAGATTCGAACCGCTGACCTTTTGGTCAGCAAGTTCAGCAGCTCCAGTTTAACCCGCTGCACCACCGGGGGCTCCATAAGACTTATGTTAATCAGTACTGATTTAAGATGGATTTGTTTTGGCGTGGGGCCATGAAGAAATGATTAATTTTGGATCAAGCCCAAAAGATGAGAAGAAAAAATTCAAGGCTGGCCCAAACCATTTTTTCTGCCTGAAAGACAAAAGACAAGATCCTAATCCCTCCTTTAGTAATGAATATCACTCCTCATACCTAGAGACAGAAGCCTGCATATGGCACATGTAATTCTGTCCTCCAGCTCAACCTTGCCATCTGCTCTGCACTGCTTTTACCACTGCATGTCTCAGGTGGAAACACAATTGCGCATCACTTAAGCAGATCACCCTATGCATATCATGTGATGCCTTCTGGTTGGGATGCTCTGGGCTAATTAGGCTCCTTTCATTGGTGTCTATTTCAACAGAGATTTGTTTGTTTATTTATTTGCCATATTTATACAGTGCCCTTCTCACCCAGAAGGGCATTCAGAGCAGCTCACATATAAAGCACAATTTGATGCTGCTCAAGCATACATCCAACAAAATAAACATATACATTAAAACCAACTGCTAAAAACATCTCAAGCATTGAAAACAATTATTAAAATCATGTAGTCCAATATCACAGTCCAAGGCCATTCCAATTGTCATTGCACCATTTCGCATTTACTTATGGCACTGAGAGATTACTATCCGAAAGCTTGGTCACACATCCCCATTTTTAGTTTTTTCCTGAAGGTCAGGGGGGAGAGGACCGATCTGATTTCACTCAGGAGGGAGTTCCACAGCTGAGGAACCACAACTGAGATGGCCCTGTCTCTTGTCCCCACCAATTGCATCTGTCAACCACATTGATTCATAGTCACTTCTTGCACTGCTCCAATTACTTGTCAAAAGCTTGGTCTCAAAGCCATGTCTTAATTTTTTTCCTGAGGGTCAGGAGAGAAGGGGATGATCTGATCTCACTGGGGAAGGAGATCCATCATTGAGGGACCACAACTGAGAAGGTCCTGTCTCTTGTCCCTGCCAAACGGACCTGTGAAGGAGGTGGAACCGAGAGCAGGGCCTCCTCAGAAGATGGTTCATAGAGGGAGATACAATGGGATAGGTAAGCTGATAGATAAGAGATATCCATGATGTGGTGGGAGAAGATGATTAAACTAGACAGATAGCCCAGGTCAACAACAACCAAGGACTACTGTTGCCCTGGAGCTGGCTCAAAAGGTAGAAATTGTCAGGAGACACTGGAGGAGGTGGTGCTGTGGGGCAGTTGCTTCATTCTATCTATGGTTAGAAGCAGCCCTTTTATTACCTGTGGATTAGGTCAAGTCTCTTCTTGCCTGCTTCCTGGAGGCTGATAATATGAGGTCTAACAATGAGCAATGATCCCTATATACCTTTCACAATCACTATACTGGCCAAGGGGATTCTGCAAAGAGTCCTGGGGCAATTTTCCAAAATTCTAGATCACCAAAAATGTGAAATACTGTCATAACTTGCCTCTTCCTTCCCTATCTCATTTTTCATAGTGGCTGATGGTTCCCAGGTCATTGGGGCAGAGAATCCATTCTGATCTTTATCCAGACTTAAAAGGAGTTACCATACAGTGAAGCTATTTTGTGCCTCTAAAGTTCAAACTGAAACCTAGAACACAATTGCCACTATTTTCCCATCAGAGACACTATCCATCCCTCCTATGTCACTTGGGCTAGATCTGCACTGTAAAATTAACAGAGTTTTACAGCGCTTTAATGCTATGGAATCATGCTAATAGTCGTTCGATGAGGAGGAGGAGGAGGAGGAGGAGGAGGAGGAGGAGAAGGATTGGTAGAGAAAACTAAAATTCTTGTAAAACCATAACTCCCATGATTAAATAGCACTGGCTCTTGTCAGTTAAACTGGCCAGCTCTGGTTGCTTGACTAACATCACAACCAATACTATAATGACATAAAATACATCATCATCATCAAACTACTACTAGCATGTATAAATTTTGTTAGCATTGATGTATTGTTGTTGTATTCAGGCATTGAATGTTTGCCTTTTATATTTGGAATCCGCCCTGAGTCCCTTTGGGGAGATAGAGCAGAATATAAGTAAAGTTTTTATTATTTATTGTAATTGCCCATATGATGTTGTACATATAAAAACATAAAATATAAGACCCTGGCTAAGATGCTTTTCTTGGATTGCACAACATAAATTTTATCCTTTTATTAGCTGTGGATTAGCCCATGGTGGCACAATGGGTTAAATTCTTGTGCCGGCAGGACTACTGACCAACAGGTCAGCGGTTTGAATTCAGGGAGAATGTGTTAAGCTCCCTCTGTCAGCTCCAGCTCCCCATGAAAGGACATGAGAGAAGCCTCCCACAAGGATGGTAAAACATCAAATATCCAGGCGTCCCCTGGGCACCGTTCTTGCAGAAGGCCAATTATCTCACACCAGAAGTGACTTGCAGTTTTTCAAGTCACTCCTGACACACACGCAAAAAGCTGTGGATTAGGTCAAGTATTTTCTTGCCTAGGAAATTACACATTGATTATATTACACTGCCCTTGTTTTGAATGGCCACAGTGTACAATTGAATGTATAGCTGAATATACAATCAAACACACAATCAAATCAAAGCACAACTGCACCATAGTGCAACTCCATTTCTATCTTGAAATGAATTGCGATGTTTGTGCAGTGTAGAATAATGCTCACCAGCTTCCTTGAAGAACTGAAACATGTATAAGACATCTACAGTTCACTGAACAATGTATTAGATGACATACAATAGTAGCACAATACAAATAGTATATAACAGATGTACAATAAAAGCACATAGAAACACAGTAGGCATCCTGCTAGCAACCTGTTTTCTATGAAGTTTTCAGGTGCCAGCATGACTCTTTGCTGCCATTTCATTCAATACAGTGCTTGTCATAAAAAACCTGAATATCAGCCTATGTACAAACAAGATTCAAACATCCAGCTGTTGCTCAGTGGAGGAACCGGGAAGAGAGAAACAGATCAGGAAGGGGCAACCACCCATCTGTATCTATCTCTTAGGGCAGTGTTTCTCAATTTTCCTAATACCACAACCCCTTAATACAATTTCTCATGTTATGGTGACCCCCCCAACCACAAAATTACTTTTGTTGCTACTTTATAACTGTAATTTTACAATTGTTATGAGTCGTAGTGTAAATATCTGATATGCAGGGTGTATTTTCATTCACTGGACCAAATTCAGCACAAATACCCAATATACCCAAATTTGAATACTGGTGGGTTTGGAGGGGGGGGGGTTGATTTTGTCATTTGGGAGTTGTAGTTGCTGGGATTTATAGTTCACCTACAATCAAAGAGCATTCTAAACTCCACCAACGATGGAATTGGACCACACTTGGCATACAGAACTCCCATGACCAACAGAAAATACTGGACGGGTTTGGTGGGCATTGACCTTGAGTTTTGGAGTTGTAGTTCCCCCTACATCCAGAGAGCACAGTGGACTCAAACAATGATGGATCTGGATCAAACTTGGCATGAATACTCAATATGCCCAAATGTGAACACTGGTGGACTTTGGGGAAAATAGACTTGACATTTGAGAATTGTAATTGCTGGGATTTATAGAGCATTCTGAACCCCACAAATGATAGAATTGGGCCAAACTTCCCACACAGAACCTCCATGACCAACAGAAAATACTGTGTTTTCTGATGGTCTCTGGTGATCCCTTTGACACCCCTTTGCGATCCCCCAGGGATCCCAACCTCCAGGTTGAGAAATTCTGTCTTGGGAGGGGGGGGGGGGGGGGGGGGGGTCATTACTTTTTTAAACTGTAGAATTCTGTTAATGTTGCTTCATTGAATCACATTACTATCAGGATCTCTATCAAGATATCTGTGGGTGTGTTTTACTGTTTGGCCCATGTTTTTCTTCTATAGCGAGTGTAGGACCGTTAGAAAGCTGGAGGGAGCAGCTTTGATTACAATAGTTTTGAAGTTTTAAAATTCTATTCTGAAGCTTAGAGATTTATTTTCGTCAAGCACATGAAGATTGAAGGATGAAAGAACGAGAAGTGCTATTACTTCTTGAGGTGAGCCTTGAGCTCTCGTCCCTTATCTTCCTTATTATAGATGGATGGCAAAGGAACAAATATTTCAGATTCATCATTCAGATCCTGGGTGGTGGGTGGGTGGGAACAATAACTCTTGTCTGTCAACATTAATAAGTGTTTCTGCAACCTCCAGATGTATTTTTTGCTCTGGCTAAGTTTCTTTGATCAGATGCCAATGCATGCCTGGTTTTGAAAATAGCTACCTTTTAAAATAGACATTTTCACAAAGGAATCACTTCCATTTTTT